TTTCTCTCGCGCGCCCTCTCCCTTCCTCTCTAAAATCAATAAAAAAATTTGTTTTGAAGTTCTGGACAGATCCTGCACTCACAGGAGAGACTTTTGCTATCAAGTCCTGCCTCGGTGTTTCCTTTATGAGACCTGGACTTCCATCTGTCTGGCTCTATGTGCAGAGGGACCTGACTCATTTCTCCACCCATCACACTGTTCTTCTGTCATCCCATGTGCCTGGGCCAGGAGAGTGGGGTATCATACCGGGGCACAGACTAAGTCCTAGGGTGAGGGCTGGGCCTGCTTCTTTGCTGCACAGTCCTCTATGCTGCATGGGCCCATCTCAGGGTCAAGACCCATCCTCACTGAGCACCGGGCCCCGCCCAAATGAAACCTAGGGCCCAGCTTCAGGGTGGGGTCTACAAAACTGTCTAATGTGTGCGTGTGTGTGTGTGTGTGTATGTATGTGTGTGTATAAGCCAATGCTTAGGCCTGGGTCTGTGACCCAAGTTCCAATACAAAGTATCCATTCCAACATGAAAAGCAAGAATAGAACCTGTGCTTGCTGGTCTAAGATCAAACCTCAGAATGATGGTTTGAAGAATTTTTTCTTCAAAAGAAAGTTTGAAGGTGAAACCTCAATAGGCAAGACAGATAAAAGCAGAGTTGTTCTGGTGGAAGTGAGAATGGGGGAGGGCTGGAGACCTGTGCTATGTCTCCACCCCTCTTCCCACTTTAGCAGCCCCTGACAAAGCTCTGTGGAACACCAGGGGTTCCACAGCACCTGGTTTGAAAACCACTGTGTCAGCGTGTCTACAGATCATGGGTCCTGAGGACCTGTGCTTTGACCTCCCTTTCAAAGTGAAGAGTTGGGAGTGATGGGGGAGGGTGTTCCCCTTTCAATGGGCCTCTCTTTGAAGCCACTGGGCAGTGACCCAGCAGGGGAGCCTCAGAGGTGGAAATCCTGCCCCAACAGGTAGGCCACTTCAGTCCTGGAGGACGGACAAAGTGATGGAGCTGCCTGGGCCAAGATGCGGGCCCAGTGCAGGCTTATGCGTGAGGGTGGAGGGAGTCTGTTTTGGTCCTTGTTGACGTTAAAAATAAAAACATCAGAACAGGTATAGGCCTATGTCCATGAGACCCTATAAGAGTTCAAGATGGGGGCCTAATGCCTTCCTCTGGGATGGGTAGAGAGTGACCAGTCCTCAGTTGCTGGCAGGAGAGAAGCTGCCTTTGTGGGCTGCTGAAACCGCTGGGGGTCAGGGCAGCTGGAGTCAGCGCTCTGTGTAAGAAGCCTGGCTTTTCCTCGAGCCCAGATACCTCCCAAGCATCATCAAGAAGCATTGGCAGCTCCGGTTGACCCTGGAGGGGACCCTGTACTTTAAAGGGGGCGGGCCAGGTCATTGCTATTCCACCTCGCCCTTGGGTTCCTTGATGAAGTGCCAATTCAGGGTCTGCGGGCTGGGGGTTGTCAGTAACCTGGGACCAGAGCCAAGGCTCTCTGGCTCTGTGGGGTCTGAGAGATGGAAGATGTGGGTGGGACCAAGCCTGGGAGGGCCTAAGATGCTTCCAGCCCCAATCACTGACAATATCCAGGTCTTGCCTCTGTCCTGATTGCTGGGACCATTATCTGTAGGGATGGCATTCCTAAATAGTGCCTCAGTTCCCCGCTCAGCTGGGTCCCAAAGCCGACCTCACTACATGTCACTCTGGCTGACATCTGCCTAAGTGAGAAGGGGGCAAAAGGTGACCAGTGGAAGGAGGGCTCAGCCCACAGCAAACTTCCTGTGTGACCCTGGGCCACTCTCCTGCGGTGGCAGGACCATGGCCCATGCAGCTGTTTACAACGTACAAGGCTGACTTTCATCTCCACTCACTTCCATCCATCTGGGCCTCACAGTTCCTTGAGTCGAGCGGGGAAGGGGCTGCTATACCACCAGTGAAACCGAGCCCAAGAGGTAGAGTGACTTGCTCAAGCCTACTCAACTGGCTGATGGTGGCAGGAACCGAGGCCATGTGGACCGCCAGGCCAGCGTGCTTCTCGCTGCACCGTGGGAACCAGCTTGTCAGCGGCTCCCCCAGCTGACACCCCAAGGGAGCCCACTCTCGCCTGCCTGGGCCCTGAGGCTGAGGAGGCCCAGGAGTCCAGCCAAATAGCCCAGTCCTTAGTTTCACTGGGACTGACTCTTCTTACAGTGGGAATGCCCAGGAGTCCGGGGGGCCCTCTGCCTGGGGATGTGCACGCAGGGCCACGGTCTCCTTCCGGCCTAGACCTACATGCCGCCCTCGTGGCCCGCTGGAAAGTCCCAGTGTGACATGACATGGCCAGCACAGGCCCCAGATGTGTGCATGGAAAGAACTGACACTGTGGGCTGGGGCCTGGGGCCTAGTGGGGCCCCCCAAACCCCAGTTTCACTCCAAGATCTCACATGATTTAGATGGAGAGGGGCCTTGCAGAGAAGGATTCAGTCATGTTTGGAGGCTGCCGGGGGAGTAGAGCCGACCGAAGCCTGGAGAGATGACCTGGGCCTTTCTCTCCGGAAGAGGCCGGAGGAAACACTAGTCTGAGTGTCCTCTGAGCTGCAGCACATGGTACGCAGGAGGCTGCCAGCCCCGGGCAAGTAGGGCTCAACTCCAGCCTGTGCGCCATTCACAAAACCGTACATTCTACCGTGGGCGGAGTCCACCTGGAAGGGGCAGTTCCTAATTCACATCAAGGCACTATATGAACTAACAGCAGCCATGGAGCTCTGAATAAAATAACCCCGTTCCTCCCCCATTACTTTCCCTGGACCATGAGCTTCCTGAGGACAGGGGCTGGGACGGACCCATCTCTGGGTCTCCAGTGCTCAGCACTGAGCAGTAAGTTATCAGGCAAAGATGATTAAGCCAAATTCAAATGAGCTTGACCACTGCCCTTCTGCACTCCTGCACCCAAAAAGTAAAAGGCTGGATGGGGTTATGATGCTTCCTGTGCCTGGAGAAACTTCGGATAAACACTGGGATAAACCCAAAAGGGTGAGTGAGATGTTGGGGTGGAAGCTCAAGAAACCAGGGGCAAGTCTTTTGTGTGCACAGGGAGGGCTGGAGGAGGTGTGTGGGGGAGTGACTATCTCAAATCCTAGAGGGTCTCATGCCAGCCCAAAGGTTCCAGAGGAAGACGCTGGAGACCATATGCTTGTGGTGCGTTGGTCCAGCCCCTCATCAACTCTACAGCTCCGGTGCCCACTGCCCAGCCAGCTCTGGGAGGAGCTGGATGCCTGTAGCTGGGACCCCGGTCTGGCCATGTGACTGTCCTGAGCTGACTTGATTCTCATCTGGGCGGGGTCCCTGGGGTTGAGTCTTCATGAGATTCCAAAGGGAAGGGCTAGAGTGCAGTGCCAAGCCCAGGAACCGGGTAATCTCACCACGGAAAATGGTTGCCCAGCCCACCCCAGGAGGGACTGGACTGAAAAGGGTTGAGATTCAACTTGTATAATAAAATGTTGTTGTCTCCCCTCAGGCAAGTATGGGCTAGAGACAGAAGGAAGCAGAAAATGGGGAGAGAGCCTCTTGCTCCATAATCAATACACTTGTTTGGGTATAAGGTGAACCTCAGGTGTCTGTACCCACAGGGGGCTGGGTTACTGGAGGCCCTATCACTAGCACCCCTCCACCCCCTGAAACTCCTCTACCCCCCGGAGGCTCCGCAAATACATGCTCTGTCCTTTTGTAATACTCGGGACCGGGGGCAAGCAGCTCGTGCTAGGTATGGCTACACCTTGTTATCAGGCAACCCTCCAGAGGCCTAAGAAGGGTCCTTCCCAGGCCCCAGGTGGGGAAGTAGGAGCTCTCCATGGTCCTGCCACCTCCAGGGTCTAATGGGTCCCCTTTGCAGTCAGCCAGACCAGAGTCAGTGACTCGGCCTCCACCCACGAAACCAGAAACTTCAATGTTCACAGATTCTTGGAGACCAGAGCTGGAAGGGCCCTTTAGTTTTCCAGGTGATGAACTGAGGCCCAGAAAGGGAAAGGAACTTGCCCAAGGTCACACAGTAAGTGAGCAGCAAAGGCCAGACAACAGAGACCTTTGAACACTTTCTACCTCATCATCTGCCTGCCCTGTTCCCCTGGCAACACCCCAGGTCTCAATCACACAAACACCCGCCAAAGGGTACTGGGTCCCCATAACACTGGGAGCTACTGGTGAGGGGGTCATTAGCTCTCCAAGGTAACAGAAGTTCCTTGCTACTCAGCAGTCCCCTCCCTTTTAGTGAGGGCCTCCCGTTGGACCCTGCCACCTTCCGGGGAAGGACCCCTTTGCCTGTGGGCGTGGTGGCCTCAGGTGCTGCCTCTCAGCCTGCAGGGCCAGCCCAACCCAGCCTTGGAGAACAGCAAGGGGAGGCAGGAGGACTCCGATGTCCCCGGCTCCCTCTGGACTTCCAGCCCTGCTTCCCATGGGATCACCAATCACAAGTCCACAAAGAAAGGGAGCAGGGCGGATTCTCCCCTCCCAGCCCCCGCACCCATCTCTCAGAGCCACCCTGCAGGCCACCTGCTCCGGAGCTTCGGCTCACGCTGCCTGGAAGAGGGGGCAGGGGGGACTTCCTAAAGACCCTTTCTCTCTGTGTGTGCATGTTTATAGATAGACACACACATAAGACACAAGGTAGCTAGGAGGTTACATCCTGACAATACTGGGATAGACCTGGGCTAGTTCACACAGCTTGCCTTAGACTAGGTAACTGCTGGTAAGAAAGTCAGTCTAGTAGCTTTTCTCCACTCCTGGGGTCTACACCAATGTCACTGTCAGATGCAGAGGGACATGGGGCAGGGACAGGGGTAGAAAGGGAGAAGTGTTTAGCGGGTCAGGACTGCAAAAAGGCATTGAGAATCTATCCACAGTCCGCCATTCCAGCCAGAAGACAGTGGCCTTCAACGTGGTCATCTTTTAGCTGCCAGACTGTATTAGCCACCTGGGACTGTGGACATTCTCTCACATGTCTTGACCCCTCATCCCCACCCTCCCACGCCCTGTGCCCTACCCTGCCCCCTGCTCCCCATCTCGAGTCAAATCCCAAGGCCAGAGCCATGGCGGCCTTTCCGGGGGTCAGCAGGAAGAGGGAGGATGGAAAGGTGACTGCAATGACAGGGTTATGGTGGTGCATGTGGCCCCGTTGGCATGGTGATGTGGGGCCCAACCTGCGGCCAGAGGGTCACCACCACAACCTGGAAGACCACTGGGCCCCGGTAGAAACTGGAAGAACAAAGGGGACGGGGCACCAGAACAAGAAGACAAATGAGCAGCCTCGCGCAGGTGGGCGGACCTGGAGCTGCCCGGGAGGAGGGCTGGCCCGTCTATCTGTTGTTGAGCTGCGGAGAGCCAGTACCATCCTCCTCCTCCTCCTTGTCGTCCTTCATGCCTTTCAGTCTCTGACGGGCAAAGTCCTCAAACACGATGTCGTCATCGCTGGTGGGAAAGACAAGGAAGACAGGGAGGTGTTTGCAGGGCGGGGAGAGCAGGTACTCAGAGGGGCAGGGGGACGGCCTGCTGATGGGACTCAGACACAGGCCTCTGGGGCTGACCTTGGGCAGAATGGCCTGCCAGGCTGGCACCTCCGGACACCCACCAGTGACAGTGGGACTTGTCACATCTGGCCTCGTCAGTTGTGGAAATACCAGAGGAAGGCATACGCTTCTCTTTCATGCCCACTGACCCAGTTCTTGAGAGGCTGGGTGGGGCGGGTAGTGTATCTGGGCTGGGACCACAGGAAGACCGTATCCCCACTGAGAGGCCAGGCCAGCCGCGGTTTACAGCATATTCTGGATCCCCGGCACAGGAGTGCCTGAGTTTCGGGACTAAGGACTGCTTCCAAGAACAATGAGTTCCTGTCTACCATGACACATGTCACTAGGCCCACCCGAGTCCCCTGTGCCCAGAATTCAGTCAGCTGTGTGGAGTGTCCTCATGGGTTGACTTGGGACCCACATCCCAGATAGCTCCTGGGAGACCAGGGAAGAGTAGATTTGGAACTGGGGTGAGAAAGCGGCTTTGCCCTGGAGGTGGTTCGTGATGTCGGCCCAGGTCCTCCCCTTCGGGCCACTGTCCAGGGAGCTGATGACCTTTGGCCGCAGGGAAATCCATATCAGTCCTCTGGTTCAGAAACAACAAGATCCCCAGAACTTCCCCCACCCCACAGCCTGAACCCACTGGTTGGGTGCAGGCGGGCGGAGAGCCCCAGCCCAGTGCCACAAGCCAGCCCTGTGTGAGCGGAGCAGGTGCTGTGGATGGACTGACGGACATGCAAAGGATGAGGGAGGAAGACAGACGCCACCAAAGCTGGAGGAAGAGGACCTGGCACGGAGGGTCCTTCAAGCCACATGCAGGCAAGCACATTGCTGAAGAGGTGAGCAGAGGTGGCTCTCAGCAGGCAGGGTTAGCCCAGCTGCTCCTCAGGGGTTAATCAGCACATATGCAAATGATACTGTTCCCCACCCACTGCCCAAGCCCCACCCTTCACCCCCACCCCCAGAAGTCTGCAGGCAGGGTTTGGCTTACTTTGTGTCAAGTTCTATGAGATTGGTATCTACTGGCGCCTCGTTCTCTGGAACTAAACACAGGGTGGGCGGGCACCCATGGGTTAGTGGTGAGTGGGTATGGGGGCACAGGTCCCTGCCCCGAAACAACCGAGCTAAGATGAAGAAGGCAAAGGAAGAAGGGAGTGGGAAGGAAGCTGGTCCCTTGTCTTAGAAATACCCCAAATCATCCTAAAGGCAGGTTGGAGGGCGCGGGGAGGGTCCCCAGCCCACGGTAGCCCTAGGAGAACAGAAAGCCTCTGGACCCTGTTCCTTTTGGCATATTTCCAATGTGACTTAGATTCTTGCATGCGTAACTTTCACTGACTCTAAAACAACCATTTTTTCACCTTTTCAGATCTCTGAACTTGGGTGTTCTACAATCAACAGCATTGCATAGTTTAATTGTGGGAACATTTTCTTTCTTTGTGGTACATATTATAATGTCTCTTTTGACTGAAATAGTCTTAGACTTAATGAAGTATGATCCATCTGTTATCATTTGGAATAATTATGGAGATGGCGTGTCCAGGGGTCACCTTATCCATGTAGCCCTCTCTCCTATACCCGGATGCAAGATGAGGGTTCCAAGCATGGCCAGTGGGCCCCCCTCCACTCCCAGGCCCCCACCCTCACGCCCATAGAGAATAGAGCCAGACCTTTCTGTCTCCTGGGGAGTTAGATGTAAAGAGGAGTGTGGGCCTCACAAAAGATCTTGGGGAGCTGGGGAACAGGGGTGTCCTTGGGCTGAAGGCTGACCCAGAGCAGGGTGGGGTGATGTGAAAACACAGCAGCTGGTGGAGAAGGGGGCTGGCTATCTGGAAACCCCCACCCCAGTGACCCACGGATCCGGCTCACCTTCCCGATGTGGGGGTTCCTCTTTGGGCTTGGGGTGCATTAGGGTGAAGGGCAGTTCCACGGCGACGTCACTGAAACAGAGACCAGACCCAGTGAGCCCTGAGCCCGGTCTCTGGCTGTGTGAGGACTGGGGAGGGTTTATGGTAGAAGAGGTAGGGGTAGGAAATCTGGCCTCAGACCCTGGTTCTCTGAGCCTCAGTCTCTCCTGGAGTTGAACTAAGAGACCTGTTCTCCTGGCTCCAAAAAGAATGGAAGCCTCCCCTTTCCTGAGAAGGGTACCTGGACTCCCATCAGCTGGGAGAAGGAAGGCATAGGGGTGGGGAAGGGACTGCCCAGGACAGCGTGCGCATCTTGGTCACTGGTGGTTCCAGAGGCATCAAGGGGCCCTGCCAACCTCAAATCGCCACAGCCAGCCCAGCCTTCCCTGACACTGCCCCCTCGACTTCCTGGCTGGAACCCACCCTCACTCTGTCCGTCTCCCAACATCTCCAGGAGGCTCCTGTGAAAGGGTTCAGATGGCCCTGGTCCCCTACCACCTGGACAATGAACTGCTAAGGTCAGATTAATCCAATTCAAGTTGATGGGACCCAGGTCCTGGGGCGTCTACATTATGCATAGAGGCTTAGAGCTGCGTGGGGACGGAGGGTGGGGCAGGGGGAAACGGGAGGGGCTGCCACCAGCCAGTGCTTCTGACAAAAAGACAAGACCAGATAGCTACATGGTGCCAACTCCGTCGCAACATGTAGCCTAGAGCAACTCTAATCTTCACAGCCATGCCTTTATTGCACCCAATGTACAGATCGGGAAACTGAGGCACAAGGACTAAAAGTACCTCCCCCAAGGGCACACGGTTATTAACGGGAAGTGACAGACAGGATTCTGACTCCCTAATTCACACCCTTCACCACTGAGTGAACACAGCTCAGAACTGAAGTGATTCCCACCTACTGTCGGCTCTCCTCTTACAAAAGGAGCCCCGAAGGCTCCTCCTCCCAGCTTGAGGTGGTGTCAGCCTAGGAGGCCCTACCAACTGTGGGTGCTGCCAGGCACATCCTCACCTTACTGACCTCGCTGCCCGAGGCCCCGCTGGGTGAAAGGAAGGGACAGGAGAACGGAGGGGACAGGCAAACAGAAGGGTCTGTTCTGCCAGCCCCACCACTCACTTGGGGGCAGTTTACAGCTCAAGCCCCATGAGCTCATCTGGAGAATGAGGACAACACCTCCATTCCAGAGCCACTCGGCTTCCAGGAGCTGGTGCAGGTAAAAGGCTTGGCTGCATCATCACCTCCCCTCAGGAAGAACATGGAGATTGCATAAGTCTTTTTTTTCTTTTTGCTTCCCAGGGGGATTGCTTTTCCAGATTCACATGGAAAAGCGAGCTTTCTGAATGGAAACTGGTAGGAGATAGAGTGGTTAACCTTCACCAAAGCCATTCAGGATACAGATGGTAGAATCTGGACTTTCACTTTCCACCAGGCCTGATCGATCAAGGATGGGGTGTGCCTGACCCCTGTCTAGAACCTCAGCACCCAGAACAAGGCTGGGCACAAGGCTGGGTTCGCGAATTCTTTACTGAAATTCACTGAATTGAACTGAACTGAGTTGAATTTCACCTCTCCGAATGGTCTGATTTCTTCGGGTGAGTAGTACTGCCACCTTGTGGCAGAAGGAGGCAAAACCACTGCATTTGGGGCCAGTGCCGTTTTGGAATGTATGTGGATCCAGCTGGTAAAACGGGAATCCTGTCTACAAAAGCAGATCTCCACAGGACCTCGCCTTAGCAACACTCGGCCAGCAGTTCATTCTCATTCGTGTAGAAGTTTGAAAGCCATGAAGCTGGCATTTCTCCAAAACATTCTATAATTCAGACTAATTGGGGGCTACTCCCTAGATCAGTAAAGCCAGCTTTGTTGTCTGCAAAGGTCCTTGTCACTTGAGTGTAATTCAAGAGCAGGGTGAGATTTTCAAAGGAAACACACATCCCCCTCGTCCCTCGGGGGAGGGCTGAGCCTGGCAATCGAAAGTGACCCATAAGATTTCTTCCAGCCAGTGCCCTGCAGTTCTGGAAGGCAAGTCAATCAGGTTGAAGGGAGGGACTTTACCTGGACGCAAGATCTCCCAACAGGCTGGGTAGGTCAGAGGAGGCGGGAGAAGTGGTCAGGAGAGAGTTCAGAGGGGAAGAAAACAGAAAACATGTTCATTCACTACCTCTGCTGCCCTTTGGGTAGAGAAGACCCTGGGACACACTCCCACCCCCCTCATTCAGGGACACACACGTGGCATTCGCCTTTCCCCGGGGAATTAGATCCAGCTCTAGCTCAGCCAAACCCCCTCTAAGGCCTCTCTGAGCCCCAGGATTCACATCTGCAAAGGAGACACGAAAACTATACCCCCCCCCCGCCTCTTCCGGGAGGCCTTCCTAGTGCAGGAAGCACGTTAGGGTTCACGGAGGATTTCTCCAGAAGGCAGCCTGAGGCAGACTGGGTCCTGCAAGAGTCACAGGGTATGGGACTTGGGATCTGCCATTCTGAGATGTCCTATAATCTGCAGCCAGTGTTACATGCTGCCGCCTGCATGAGGCGTTGTTCTTGTAATAAAGGAGACTGAACAGCTAATGCTATTAGCTTTCCAATCTTTTTGTAGAAATGTATGAATTAGGAAAAAAAAATCCCTGTGACCAATTATAAATCCTAATCTAGGTTTATAACGGTATGTAGGTCCAATACAGGGGGAAAGCAGTTCTTTCTGAGCCTCCCTCCACCAGACTGTGCTCCAGGGCAGGGACGATGTCTGGTCCACGGCCGTGACCCCAGCGCCCAGCCTGGGACCTGAGATTAGGGGAGGAGACCGCAGGAAATGTTTGGGGAACTGTTGGGCCTGTTTCTCCACCTGTAAAATGGGAGAGTCAGAACACCCCCAATCCAGCTGTGGGATTCTCGGCCCCTCTAGCCATTTCCCCAGCAGATCAGCATGGGCATGAGTTGGGGTGGGTGCTGTACCCCGACGTGTGATGAGGGGCACAGAACCCCCTGGACACCCCAGAGCATAGACTCCGGGAAGCCTCCCTCTGCCCATGTGCCCAGAGTGGGACAGAGGAGAGGAGGGTGGAGGAGGAGGAGGGAAAGACAGAAGGGACAAGCGAGGGGAAGCAAGACAGGGTAAAGGGGCAGAGGAGGAGGGGAAGCAGGAAGGAAGAAGAGACAGAACAGGAAGCCCCGGAGCTTGGTTCACCCTCGAGGTGGGTGGCAGAACAGGGCAGCAGGCCGCAGGTGGTAGGGGCGCTGCGCTCTGCGCTGAGGGGTGCCGGGCTGGACTGCAGCACTCACCCGCCCCGAGACACCACCAGCTTCACTTTCACTTTGTAGGAAACGATAATGCCCAGGATCTCTCTGTTGGCTCCTTCCCTCAACCTGCAAGGCGACAGAGGGAAGCTGGTTCCTGGGAGCCCCCTCGGTGGGCGAGACATGGTAGCAGTGGTGTGCAGTGGGGGCAGAGGCCATCTGAGCCTCTCCTGGACCGCTCAGCCGCCATGAGCAAGCAGAGCAGTGTGTGAGCAAGGTAAGCTCTGCCTTGAGGGGGTGGAAGCTTGGAAAGGAACGACCACGTGGCCTTGGAATCCCTGCCTTTGAGGGGCACCCCCACATCTGCCCTCATCTCTCCAGCCTTCCCAACCCCCTCCTGATTCATCCTTTTTTCTGGGACTGATCCAGGAGCTACTCCCTACCTTCCAGCCTCACTATGCCTCAAGGACAAATCCCATCTGACTGAAAACATTAGGTTAGGATTTGCTGCCTCTTACAGGAAGCCTCTCCAGATTGCTCCCCCCAAAGCAAGCCAGCAGAGCCCAGCACTAACTAAGGGATCTGGATCTAGAAGTCCATCGTGCTCTCTGGGCTATTCCTGGATAGTGGTAGGAGCAAAGGGACAGCTTCCCTGGCAGCTTAGGCTCCTGAGGATGGGCCCTGGACAGTGCTTGGGAAGAGGTTAACCCATGCCTTGGGCTGGCACTGGTGGGACCAAGGCGGTGTGGACCCACTGGGGCAGGGTGAACACTCCATAGCTCGGGACTACAGAGGGTAAGTCCTCACAGGGTGCTGGAGGCCAGGTTCGTGTCTTCATGCTTGAGCTTCCCATCCAGGGCGAGGCCCCGCTTCTCTCGATTGTTGGCCAGGAAGGGGGTCAGCGTGTACACCTTGCAGAAGGTTGAGCTGGGTGCCACTGTGTCGCTGGGAAGAATAGAGGCAGGTATACAAATGTCCCCCCAGAGCCAACCCCAGCATGGCCAGGACATCTCAAAGACCACAAAGTAATATTTTTTAAATGTTTTAAGTTACAAAAATACTGATTGCTATTACATGTAAATAAACACACACATGCAGGAAATGTTAAATAAAATGCAACTGCTCAAAAAATTCTATGCAGAGTCTGGAGAAAAAACAAGTGTGTCTTCTAATAGCAGCATCTCCTTCCTTTAGGTGAGAAAAAAAAATGTTTCACTTAAGATGTCTCCTCTTTCCTTAGCTGCTAATAAGCTTGGAACAAAGTCCCATGCTCAGTCGTGGTAGCTCTTCTTAAACCTAGATTTTTTAAAAATAATTATTCTCTACCCTCCCACACAACTCCTTTTACCCAGTGAGCTGGATTATCCTTTATCAGACTAGAAAAGCTGCATACCAAGTGCCTTACCCTCTTTGCTTTGGCTGCCAGGAAGCTCAGAGCAAAGTATTGCCCTTCGATATAGGTTTCTGGCACAGTATAATTATGACCCCAGTTCCCTTGAATTCATTAGCTAGTATCTTGTCGTGCTAGTTTCAGTGGGTGTTTTCTTGGCTGTAGCATTTTCTTGGAGCTAAATCAAGAGCACATGTTTGAAAAGGCTGTTCAGGATCATCTACCATGAGCGGCAAGAATGTCTGAGGCCCAGCTTTCTGCCATGTGCGGAAGAGGCATCTGGGCCTGTAAATGGACCCAGGGTTTCTCTTTTCCCCACCCAATCCCACGCATCCAAGACTGGGCTTATGCCCACTTACTCGGCCTCTTCCATGGCCACAGGGCACTTGTACTGGGCTGTATTGAAAAGACAGATGTCTGCATACTGGCGCACTGCGGACAAAGAGGGAAAAGAGATGGTATGAGTCAGGGATGCAGCTCCCAGGCATTCGAGGCTCCCCTGAGTTGGGGATGTTTAGCCCCAGGCAATGGTCAGAGTCCACTGGGGGCTTCCACAGGAGACCATCCCCATGCTCCACCCAAAGGGCAGCCCAAACATACCCATTCAGGAAAGCTTTGCCCTGAACCCAGGGAACCTAAGAGGAGGCGGCTTAAACAGTAAACTCATTACCTGGCCAATAAGCAGCCTCAAAAGCCTTACCCTTTGGCTTAGAGCAGGCCCTGGGCTTCCCTGCAGCCAACAGTTATTTACAAGGCTGTTAGCAAGGGAGGAGACTTCAGCTACCCCCTATCATTGGGAGGATTCCCTCTTGCCCGTCCGCTGGGCTGGCCCTCTGCCTGGGGTACCCGAGATCTTGATCTTCTTCACTGTCTTGTTGGTGTTGTTGGTGACGTGAACATTGACGCTGATGGGTTCTCCGTGGTAATAGATCTGGGAGGTGTAAGAAGGGAGAAGGGTTGGATCGGAGGACACCAAAGCTCGAGAGAGGGGGAGGCAGAAGAGGCCTCACACATATCTCCTGGGGTCCCCCAGATCTTGGCCACTCTGACATTGGCCCTTAGTTCATCAGACACTTCCCGCTGATGCTAAGCCACCAGGCGTGTTAGACTTCAGTTCTTCTATGGGACCTTGAAAAATAATTGGGTCAGAAGGTGATATTCCTGGGCTCCAGTCTTGGCTTAGTAGCAGAATAATGATAACCATAATACGAACAGTGAGATGAGAGGGGTGGGGCCTTGGACAGGCTGCCTGAGCCTCAGCTCTCCCCTCTGTGCAGGAGGGGGGGTTGACTAGGTGATGCTGTATCAAGTCTCTGCCAGCTCTGGCTGCCTGGAATTTTAGACACAGGAGGGTCTAGAAGATACAGGAGAAAGGTGGGGGAAGGGTTGGGAACACTGAGGGAACCAGCTCTGAATCATCACTGAAGGACCTCAACTTGAATCTTGCCCAAGCACTTGCTGTTGTTCCCAGGAGGGAGAAGGGACGCTCACAGCTCGAGGGCGGATGGGGGTTCGGGGAGATGGCCAGGACCCAGGACCCTTCGAGAGGCACACTGATTTCTGAAGTCAGTTGCATCCTTCGAAGTCATGCCCCCTCCTGCCCCCACTTTAGGTCCTAAGAGGCTTCCGTGAATCTCCCAAGGGAAATCTTAGGTCCCCTGAGCCCTGTGGTCCTAGAGCTGAGGGGTGAAGCTCCTACTGAGGAGTCCCGAGGCCATGAAGGAGCTGGGATCCAAGGTCCCAGCCCTGGTAGAGCAGCTCCCACCCCCGCCAAGTCTGAGCCTCCTACCTCCTTATCCAGAGAGGCCTCGAGATGCAAGGGCTTGTCTGACATGAGGAACTGCCTGGTGGTCTCGGCTGTGGGCTGGGGACCAGGCCTCTCCGGGGCATACTGAACCTTCCTGATTACCAGGCGCACAGAATTCCTAATGGAGACAGACAGAGCGAAAGAGGACCAGTCACCCGCCCCCGTGCCTTTCCCTGCAATCCTCACATCCCTCTCCTGCTCAGGAGACTGCCATCACTTCCCATGGCCGCAGACTCCGGTCCAGACTGCAGAGACTAGCACAGGAGCCTTGTCACCATCTGGCCCTACTCCAGCCCCGCACCCCATTCTGTCCCCAGCCACCCCCACCGCCTCACTATCATCCTAGATGGTCTATCTAGTCCTTTCTCTGAAGCTTCACTTGCACTGGGTCCCTGCCTATAATTCCCTCTTCCCACCACTGCTGCCCCTTCCCGGAAAGCTTCCTGGATCTACCCCTTGGATCTCCTGGTCTGACCTCCCACGCACCAGAGCCGGACCACCCCACGGCAGCCCTTCTGTGGGTCTGGGTCTTGGTAGCCAGCAGGATGGTAAGAAAGAGGCTACATCTTCACTTCCTGTATCCCCTACATCATCTGATAGTGAAGGCTCTTTAAAGACAGAGATTTTGTCTACATTGTTCACTGCTGTGTCCTCAGCACCAGTGACAGTGTCTGCCATCTAACAAACACCTGCTATTAAATATAAATATGCAGGGGGGACATGGGCCCCATGAAGAAATGGGGCCTTAGAGAGGTGATGGGTTCAGGGACAGGGCACGGATTCAGTCAGGGAGGCAGCCAGGGAAGAGGGTAAAGATCAGTGAGAAGGTGGAGGCCCAGAGATTGGATGGGACTCAGTGAAGGTGACAGGGGCTCGGAGAGGAACAAGGACATGTAGGGGACGGGGACCCAGTGAGGCTGTCTCCATGATATGCTAGATATGCTGGTATCCTCAGATAACCACCTCCATTCCCTGGAACCAGACAGCCAGCATTAGAGTCCTAGCTCTCCCCTTGCTAACTATGACCTTGAGTAAACTAACGTCTGTAAAATAGTAACAGTAGCAGGACCAACCTCTTACAGCAGCCATGAGGATTACATTAGTTCATACATGCCCATCACTTTGAATACTATCCAGCACTTAATAAATCTCTGATAAATGATAGTTGCTATATCATTATTAGTAGTAACTCTGGTGAGGACTTAAAATGTCCCATTGGTGGTGAGGTGAGGGCAGTGGTTCTCAGTGGTGCTCCTCTTTCCTGCTCTGATCAGGTTCCACCTCCAAAATCCACAACCCCCCTCCTTTCCTGTGGTCTCAGACCTTAAGAAGCAACAGGTGAAAGAGAATCAAGGAATAAGGGCCCCATTCCCCACCCTCTCCAACACACACACACACTGCCCAGGCAGATGGAAATGCCTGCAATATGCCTATAGCCACCAGGTGGCACACTCAGCCCACTCCCTAAGAAACTGCAGTGTCCTCAGCCAGCCTCCTGCAAAAACTGCCCCAGGCAGGGTGCATCTGGCCTTTGGGGCTGAGGCAGCCCACCCCAGAAGTCAGGGCCAGTTGTTTCCAGCTGCCAGCCTGTCTTCCCAGAGCTGTACCTCTCCAGAACACTTCCCCCCTCTGAGATATGAGCGGACCTCCCCCTCTTTTCCCCCTAGGTGGGTTCACTTTCTCCACTTCCCTTGCTTAGAAGCCCCATGGACACCCTCCACCACCACCACCACCTGCTGCTGGCCTCCCAGGGGAACTGGGAAATGGGTTCTAGGACGGCCTGGGAAGAACTAGCTCACTGTTTAAAACCATCTGAATTTCGAGTTTTTACAAAATGAAATAAAAAGACATGCAGTCTGAAAGGGAGAACTAGAGGCAGGGAGATGGAGGAAGCAGGTACAATGGTGTAAAGGGAAAAAAGCTGAGGCCTGAGCCATGGCAACTGAGCCCCCTCCCCCAGGAAGCCCTCCAGGGCCTGCCAGCCTGCCAGAGTGTCCTCCTCAGTGTCCCAATGCTGGAATGTGTGGCCCCTCCTTGAACACTTCCAGGTATTGTTGCTTATCTCTTCTTCGGCCCTGGCCTGTCTCCCCCTCTCTGCCAGCAGGCAGCCCACACCCACGCCGGAAGCTGTGCGCGTCTCACCGCTTGTGGATCTTCTCCTCCAGGTTCTCAGCACAGAAGGCTTTGACTTCATAGTCCACACCACAGGCCTGTGGGGAAGGGGTCACTGACCACGGGGCCTTGGAGCGGGCAGCGGCCCCAGAGCCCGGCCAACCACCCTCTCATTTTACAAATGAGGATGTGGAATGGAACCCAAGCTCCCGCAGTCTGACTCAGGAGCCTCGCGCTCAGCTCCAGGGCTGTGCTGCTTCCCCCTGTGGCTGCCTCCCCTCCTGACCTTCCCACAGGGCTGCTCCCAGCTCCCACAACACAGGGCACCCCGAACTGGCTCTACTCTATGGACTCCTACCCCGTCGGGGTGGCCATCCTCACCACGGCGGCCACCCAGACATAACGGGAGCCCCGGCAGCGCTTTGGGAGCACCTCGTGGGCAGACGGGCGCCGGGTACGTTGCTTCGGTGTCTCACTCCACCCTCTCAACTACACGACAAGGCGCATCCTATCATCCCCATCTGGCAGATGAGGACACTGGGGCCTGAGACCCTAGTGCTCACTTCCCTCTGAGCCTGTTTCCCCACCTATGAAATGACTGCACCTCCATATGAGGTGAGGCCACGTGGTAGTCCCGTTCTAGCCAACACCAAGGTCAGTGAGAGTGACTCAGAAGAGCCTTTGGCCACATAACGGAATGTGGGGTAAGGACAATGCGGTGTCTGCCGCCCTCTCTGTAAAGAGTCAGAGTAGATTGGCCTGGACACAAGGAGGCTTCTACAGGGAGGGTTCTGGCACCTCCTGGAGAGAAAGCCAAGGACCTGGGGACACAAGTATCTTGTACTCAGAGAGGTGCTCCCTTTGGGGTGACCCACCTTCCCTGTGTCTTCAGGCCCTGGCTGCAACGTCACCGAGCACGGAAGGTTCGGGGGGATCTGTTAAGAGGACAGACAGAATGAGCCTCCTGTCACGTTCCCCATGTCCCCCACCCTCAAACACATTCAGCAAACCAGGGGCCCCTCAGGACAGGCATGTCTCTTCCATCAGACTAGGGGCTCCAGAGACAGACCTTGTCTCCCCCCATCAGACACCTTCAAGCCATACCCCACAGGCCCCTCCAGTAAAGCCAAGGACGTCAGTGTTTTGATTTTATGTTTGGGTTTTTTTTTTTATTCTCACCCAAGGACATTTTTGCATTTATCTTCAGGTAGAACAGGAGGGAGAAGGGGAGGAAGAGAGAGGGAAACATCGATGTGAGAGAGAAACATCAACTGGTTGCCACGCACACAACCCCAACTGGGGCCGGGGACAAACTGCAACCGAGGTACATGCCCCTAGCGGGAACCTAACCCTGGACTCTCTGGTCCACAGGCTGAGGCTCTAACTGCTGAGCCAAACTGGCCAGGGCTAGTGTTTTGTTTTTTAACCTAAAGGGTTTAGCCTAGCCCAGTCTTCACAAATAGTGGTTAAAACAAATCCTTCCATGATGTCTCCAGTAGTAGGCAGAATAATGGCCCCAAAGATGACCTCATCCTAATCCCCCAAATCTGTGACTATGTTACCTTAATGGCAAAAGGGACTTTACAGATGTGATTAAGTTAAGGATCTTGGGAATAAAGAGATTATCCTGGGTGATCCAGGAGGGCCAGATGCAATCACAAGGGCCTTCAACAGTGAAAGCAGGAAGCAGAAGAGTCAGTCAGCATCAGTGATGGGAGGAGAAAGACTGGGTGGGAGGGCGGGGGAGGCTACAAGCCAAGGAATGTGAGTGGCCTCTAGAAGCTGGAAAAGACAAGGAAACATTCTGCCTCAGAACCTCCAGAAAGAATGCAGCCCTGCCTTGGCCGGGCTCAGCAGTTAGAGCATCGGCCTGCGGACCAATGAGTCGCAGGTTCGATTCCGGTCGAGGGCACGTACTTTAGTTGCAGTTTGGCCCTGACCCAACCGTGTGGGAGGCAACCAGTCAATGTGGCTCTATCACATCTATGTTTCTCTCTGTCTGTCTCTCTCTCTCTCCCTCTGTTTGATGATAAATGGAAACATATCCTCAGGTGAGAAATAAAAAATAATAATAATAGAAGAATGCAGCCCTGCTGACACCTAGATTTTAGCCTGGGGAGGCCCATTTTTCACTTCTGACCTCCAGAACTTTAAGGCAGTAATTGGTGAGTTTAATTGCACCCGGTCTGCAGTGGTTTATTCCTGCAGCCGCAGGAAACCAATACCTCCACGAAGGAGAGGACGATCCATACCCTCTCCCCTCTCTAACCCTCCACAGAACAAGGAGATTTCACTTCGTCACAGAATCAGAGTCTGGGAAACAGGACATTAAAAACCCAGACTCTTGGAGTCTTGGAATGGGAAGATGGCAGACAGGGAAATCCACTACGTGCCATCCCTCATTGGTGAGCTGGGCTGAAGCTGGGCGAGTGGGCAGCCAGTCCGAGGGAGGAGACGGCCTTGTAGTGACCCAGGGCCAAGAAAGGGCTCCTTCTTTCTCTCCAGCCCCTACACCCACTTCCTCCCACCAGGGACCTGCAACCAGGAGGGTCTGAGGAGTGGCTCAGAGGTAGGGTGACACCCCTGGCAGAGGCCAGACAAGAGACACCAGGCAGTGAGACAGTGCCCCAGGTCCCAGTGTATACTGGGAAACTAGGTTACGTGGAGCTGCTGCCCCCACTGTCCCGCGGTGCCCGCCCAGGGGCTCCCTCTAGGTGGTGTTTCTGGATGGGGCCAGGGCTGGCAGTCCCTGACCTCAAAGGTGAACGGGTAGGCGTGCTCGCCCAGCTTCTTGATGAGACGCTCCTGCAGCCGCGTCAGGGGCTTCTTGTCCTCGGGGGCCGGGGGGAAGGACTGCACGTTGGCCACAAACAGGTCCTTGCGGAAGGTCAGGCCCAGGACATCCAGGTCCTCCCGGCCATAGCGGAAGGCGCAGGTCAGGGTCACATAGACTGTGGGAGCAGGGGGAACTGAAGAGGGGCCTGGGAGGGCAGCAAACAAGCCCCCCACAGCAGCAGCTGTAGCCCTGAGAATGACCCAACTGATAGTCACAGGTCTGTCCCAAAGTTCCCATGGGGAGGGCTGTCCCATTGGGACAGGGGATTGGGTACCTGGAAGAGCCACCCAGGGGCTGGCTCCTGGGAGATGGGGGGCTGACTGGGGATCGGCTGTGTCCTCCACCCCACCCTACCCCAGCCGGGCATGTGTGAAGGGACACGGTTGGGGAGAGCAGAGGGAGGGGAAAACAAGGCTGGGTGGGATCCAGAGGCATCAGGTCTTATCCCAATATGACCTCTGCCTCCTGTCTTCCTGCTAACCTTGGGCAAGCCCTTCACCTCCCCAACAATCAATTTTCTCTTTTGTAAAGTGACCCTAACATCTGCCCTGTTCGCAGCCCAGCCTCGGATCATCACGATATATTGATGCAAAAGTGCACAGGGCATTAGAATGGTTCTCCCAGCTGGGCATGGGCAGGGCTGCCCCGGGCCGGAGGAGGCCAGGGCACCTGCTCTGACGTGCTGTGGGTGCAGTGCGTGTTGGGGCTGTTGGGGGAAGGACAGTGGGAGTGGGAGGGAGAGGCAACAGAAATGGCTGCTGTCCTGTCTGGGAGTTAGGGAGGCCCTAGGTTGCAGGTGGGAAGGGGTGGGGGCCTCACCTCTCCTCTCCTTGAGGTACTCGGGATCCACCAGGACCACGCCATCTGGGGGAAGGACGGAGAGTTGAGCAGACCCTCCCAGCTTGACCTCTCAAACTCCTAAGCCCCAAACACCAAGCCAAACCCAAACCCACCATCTGTCTGTCAAAAGCACCATGAGAGAATGGGGAGGCGGGCACGATAGGATGGCACCACCACGCCCACCTCCCACCCCCAGGCTGGCCGTACAGACCCAGCTGGTGAATTTTGGCAGGTTACTGAACTTCTCTACTTCATCTGTGGCAACAATAATATGGGTCCAAAACCCCTTTGATTGGGTACAATTTGGAATTTAGAAGTTTTGAATTGTAGGAAGGCCAAAGGGCGTATCTTCCATGTATTCTGTAACACCCTCTGCAGGGTCTGGGCAGCACCCCATGATCAAACCCACTGCCACCCCCACTGGGAAGCGCGACTATTCTCACTGAGGCCAAATACCCGTCCAGGTCAGGTTTTGCTGTGAAATGACAGCAGCTGCTGAGTTCTGCTCCCATCTGGGCTCTGTTACCACGTGCTCCGCTGGCTCCTGCCCTCCTGCCCCAGGACAGCCCCCAGGGATGTGACAACGAGGCCTCGGTCTGAGTTTCCCCCCCAGGGAACGCATCCCCATTTCTTCACAGGGACTTGGTCTCAGGCAGCTGCCAGAGCCCACCCTCCCAACTTGCTACCTCCACTGGCCTCCCTTTGGTTTGTTCATCTCTCACTTTAAAAGTCACTTAACCTCTCTGGGCCCCACTGTCCCCATATGTACAACAGGGTGATTCTCCCTCCCTCCCTCCAACAGTTATGGGAAGAGGCAATGAGATTAAGCTCTTCTAACGACAGCTGCGGTCCTAGAATCCTAACCAGGGGTTAGGGGGACATTTAGCAATATCTAAAAACAAGTTTTGTCACACAGGGATGGAATACACCTGGGGTCTAATGGGTAGAGGCCAGGGATACTGCTAAATGTCCTACAATGAACAGGACAGTCCCAGCAACAAAGTATTGTCCAATCTGTGCCAAGAGTGCTGAAGTTGAGAGACCCCGAGCTGGAATAGGACTTTGGAAGGTGCCTCAGGCTCTGGGAGGACCCTCCTGTCAGCGAGAACCCCCCTTGCCATCAGGAGGCAGCAGAACAAAGGTTCTGTGGATCCAGGCTGCCTGGGTTTGAATCGGGATTCTTGACCTCGCTGGGCCTTGTTTCCACATCTGTAAAGCAGAATGATAACAGTAGCTACCCCCTAAAGCCTTACAATGGGGGTGGCTGCTGTCCCCTCATCCTCATCCTTTATTATCATCAGGAGGTGCCTTCCTTCCCTGCTTCTCACCTCAGTCCTTCTCACTTGACCCTCAGCTACGAGGAAAATAGCTGCTCAATAAACGGGAAGCAGGAAGCCTCTCATGCTCCATTCTCAGCACCAGAGGCCTGAGGACTACCCCTGGGCTGCTTCAGTGCACACTCCTCTGGAAGGGGACTCACCCACGGGGTCCACGAGGTCGATGTGGTCCACAAAGTCCCGCTTTCCCAGATAGACGGTGAGCTGGGAAGAGAGGCACAGGGTTACATTAGCAGCTGTGCGCCCAGAGAACACAGTCCTGAAAAGCCACTAGCCCATGCCCTGGAGAACCCTGGGAGCTGCCCTTGAAACTCCAAGACCCATCCCTGACCCTCAATAAAATCCTAACTGGCCTTGGACCTAAGCCCCAATACTAAGAATAACAAATCCTTGCACAAATTTGAAAACACATGTCCATCCTACATCCCTGTGAAGAGTTGCTATTGTTTCCGTTTTATAAAGGAGACCCTGAGCCCTGGAGAGATCTCGCCAAGCCCCGCTGAGGGCGGAGCCGCCGCAGCGGCAGAGGGGTCTGCTGAGCCGGAGTGCGGGCGCGTGGCCAAGAGGCCAGGGGAACCGCGAGCAGAGACACACGTGTGAAGCCGTGAACACTGAGTTCTGCACAGTCCGGCGGAAACCCACTCATGTGAGGGTTCCGAGCAGTGAGGAATCCAGCGCTGGTGCCCCCCTTGGTGGTCAGCCTTCAGGGAAGACCTGCAGCTAGAATCCAGGGGGTCATCCTAGACACGTCCTGCTCCTCCACAACCCCTAAATCCTGATGAGTCCTTCCATCATAGTTCTCGATCTACCCCCTGCTCTACGTCCCCACGGCCACTCCTGCCTGGACTGTGCACCAGCCCCTCCGTGGTCTGCTGCCTGCAGCCTCACACCCCCGTTGGCCAGCCTGGCCCTCCTAAAATGCTAATCTAATGATGCTATTTCAGTCTGAAAACCCTTTAATGGTTCCTCAGTGCCGAGAGGTAAGATGACAAATGGCTTTCATTCCAAAAGCCAACTCTGATCGATTGGTAGGAGTGCCTGGGGCCCCGAGCTGAGAAGGAATCTGGGATGGAATCCTGGCTCAGCAGGAAAGGTGGCTGGTTATGTCTACTGTGGGAGCACACGAGGTACCAGGACCCAGCCCTGCAGCCTCCCCACCTCAGCTCCTGCTCCCTCGGCCTCCCTTTGGGCGCTCAGATGCAACTGCTGTGATCCTCCCACAGTCCCCGTGATTTCTCTGCAAGCCCAGAATGCCCTTTTCACCCGGCCTTGCCTGGAAACACACACTGCCTAGGGGCAGCTGTCCCTGACAACCAGGCTGGGTCCTGCAGCCCCTGGGCAGCCCTTTATCTCACACCTGCCACTTTAAATTGAATGATCACTTTCCACGTCTGCCTACTCCATCTGGCTGTGGGTGGCACGGGCTGTACCTTCTGTGTCTTGGTACACCCCACCCCAGTCCCCATCCACGCGCTGGGACCTGACACGATTATGTCAGTAATATCTATTTGCTGAACGGAGAGGACAGCAGGGTGGAGCCTGGGGCCTGTGGGAAGAAAGGACGCAGGCCAGGCACTGGGAGCTGCCCGGGAGAAGGAGATGACACCAGGGTTCGGCAGAGAGGCTCCCGGGCCTCTCACAGCAAGGGAAGCAGTGCCCCCGAGGCCTTGGCACTCAAGTCTCTCTCTGTTAGGTCAGGTCTCCCCACACCAGAGCAGGGGCTCCCTAAAGTCCAGGAGAGCCGTACCACCCCACCCCCAGACACATAGCTTCCTGAGGAGGCCACTCCCACTGTGGCCGAGGGCTCCTAACAGCCTCAGGTGGGGGTGTGCGGGGTCCTGCAAGGTCAGTAGACATGCCCGAGAGAGGACAAGAGGTTGGGGTCAGGGAGGGGCTGAGGTGCAGCTGTTGCAGACTCACCTTCCCATTTGGGCTTGCCTTCTTGAACACCCTGTGCAGAGAAAGAGGGAAGGCCAGAGTTAGCATATTCCACACAGCAGGGGGCTCCTGCAGGACATCTGTCAGCCAGACGGAGGACACGAGGCCTGGAGAGATTTCCAGGCACTGTCTAAGCCTTGAGAGCCCAAACGGTGCTCAGCATAATCAGATCTCACCATCTCAGCCACTACCCCGCCCAAGCACCATTACTGCCATCATAGCTCTCCTGGGCTCTGGCCACAGCCCTCTCAGCCTCTTCTTCGACCAGCAGGTGGAGGGAGTCTTTCAAGATGTAAGTCAGACCATGCTGCTCACTTGCTCAAACTGGAGTTCATGCAGAGGACAAGCCTTGTCTGTGTGTCTGCCCTGACTCCCTTACCTCCCAGCATCACCTCCCAGTTTTCTCCCTCATCCCTCCGGCCACATGGCCGCCCTGCAGTTCCTCCAGCATGCCAGGGCGGTACCTGCCTCAGGGCCTTTGCTCTAGCAGTCCCTTCCCCTGGGACACTCTCCCCCCACAGATCTGCCTGCCCAGCCTTATGGATCTTCACTCAGTGCCTTGCCCCACACACCTGTTCCTTCCCTCCCTCTACTTTTCCTTTTTCCACAGCATTCACCACTTTCTAACCTGCTGCATAACTGCTGATTACACTTATGCCTGTCTACTCTGCTAATGTGTCAGCTCCATGAGGGCTGGCGTCTTTGTCTCTCTTCTTCACTGATGTGTCCCAAGTCCCTAGACCGGTGCACCTAGCTGGTGTTCAATAAATGGGTCAATGAATGGCAGGTAGCAAGGACTCAGTAAATATGAGTTGAGTGGGGAATGAATGAACTAGTGAAGAAATTAGCTAAGAAACTGAGACCCAAGAAAGGAAGGGATGTGCCCATGGCCTCACAGCAGGGCACTGGATGTAGAGTGGATGAGAGGCCGGGTCTCCGACTCCTGCCAAGTGCTCACTCTGCCTTCCGGAGCACACTGCAGTCGGCAGCAGCTCCCCTGCCCTCCCCCGCAGCTGGGTGGGAGTCTGAGACCCCTCACCTGTCTCCCATCACTGAGCCCCAGAAATACTCAGAGTCATGTTGGGAGGGAGAGAAGAAAAATGAAAGAGACAGAGACCCAGGGGTAAGAGAAGGTGCTGGAGGAGGGAGAGGGACGTGACCCAGGAGGTGTGAAACTAAAAGATGAAATTAGAGATGAAAAACAAACAAACAAAAAAACAAAAGGAGAGAAACAGTCACAAGCAGAGAGAGACAGAACAGACACAGGGCAATGGAGCAGGCCCACACGCAGCCGAGAGGGATCGCACAACCCAAACCCTTCCCAGGAGCAGGGGGTCCAGCAGCCATCCAAGGCAAGGCATGGTCAACAGGGTCACAGCAACAGTCGTTCCTCCAAGAAGGGGAGTGGGGGGTGGCTCTATGTTACCTCCATAGCCCCCTATTGTGGGGCCCAAGGGACCACTGATGAGTCTGAGCTTGGCTTGCAAGGAAGGACCTGGCACATTCCTCCCCCACCTCCCCTAGGAGTTCTGAGCTTTTCTCCTCCTCATAAATATTTATGTTTGGAGTGTGAAGATGCCACAGTCAGCTGGAGTGTAATAATTGCTAAAGTGAGAAAAAAAATACAGATCACATGGTTTGAATTAGCAGCTCCCGAGTTGGGCTGGCCAGAGAGCCCTGAGAGGAGGCCAGAGAGGCCTGAGAGGGACAGGCGGTCACCTGGGCACAGAAGGGGCTGGAGGCCAGGCTCAAAGGAATGAGAATCAAGAAGGGAGGAAGAGAGCTAGGAAGGAACTAGCATTTGTTAAGTGCCTAATTAATTATTTCTGCTAACAGCACTATAAAATGGGCATTATAACCCCTATTTTACAGATAATAAACTAGGGGTTCAGAGAGTTGTGTAACCTGCCCAGGAACACACAGCAAGCAAGGGGCTAAGTCAGGATTCAGACCCAATTCTGCCTGTCTGCCTGAGAAGCTGGGTGCTTTATATCCAACCCTGCTGCTTTCTAAAGCAGGTGTTTTTATCAAGATCAGGAACAGAAGAGAGAGGAAATGAGGGCAAGAGAGGGGAGGGGAAGAGGAAGAAATGAAAGGGCCAGTAAGGGGTGAGGAGATTAAGGGTGGGGAGAGGCAGGAAGCGTGGCCACTGGTAGGGAATGTTCTGTCACTAATTCAGTCAGGCCCTGGGGCCACCTCCTCAGGAAGGGGGGACACTCATGGCTTCCTCAAACAACAGCAGCTGCCCATGACTTGAGAGCACGTTATGCCTTAGTCATGTCTCGAAGTATTTTCCCCAAAACACTGCTGATCCTTCAACAATCCCATCTCAGAGATGAGAAAACCAAGGGTCAGACTGGCAAACTGTGGCTACCTTTCCACTCTGTCATACAGCGAAGCCCCTCCCTGAAGCAACTCCACCGGCTTCCAGACTCCAGGGCTGTGAGCAAAAAGGCCCCTGTGGGGGTGCTCCCAGGTCACCGGGACTCCCCACGGGTGCAGCACCACAGAGATGGCTTCTGCCCGTCCACTTTGAAGAGCAAGCACACACGCACAAGACTGTGGCCAAAGCCAAACTTCCAGACTGTGGGACAGGTTTACCCCCAGTTCCGTCTATGCCCCACGAGCCTGATTCTGAGTCAAAGCCAGGTCCCATAGGAAATACCAGTGGTGTTCTAGCTGATTAAGGCTCACTGGAGACAAGGACCAGAAACCCACCGAGGGTAGCTCAAGAAAAGGAGGACGGGGTATGATAAGGAGAGAGAAATCTCACGGGAAGAATTCGCAGGCAGGATGCACTGGAGCTGGAGCCAGGGACAGGGAAGCCATCAGCCTCTCAGATGGTTGCTCTGTCTCTCCACCTCTCCCTCTGGGGCTGCATGTTCTCCCGGAAGCACTGCTCTCTGCGCGGCTGCTCCATTGTCTCTGTGGACCACTGCTCTCTGCTTACTCAGGGCCTTTCTGCTCCTCCATCATTACGGCTTGCATCTGGCTCTCACTCTGACCCTCTTTCTACTCTGCCTCTCACTCAGCTTCCCTCTGTTAACTGCTGAATGGCCCAATTCCAATTCCCAGGAGGGGAATTTCATTGGTCAACTTTGGTCAGGTGTCCCACGTCTGGGCCAATCAGCTCTGCCTAGGATATGTCATGTGGTCCATGAGACATGGGCAGAAGAGAGTCCAGAGAGCAATGCTTTCAAACCAGGGACCACAACCCATTAGTTGATCATGAAATCAACTTAAAGAACTGCCACCAGCCCTGGCCGGTTTGGCCCAGTGGTTAGAGTGTCAGCCGCAGACCAGAGAGTTCCGGGTTCGGTTCCCAGTAAGGGCACGTACCTTGGTTGCAGTTCATCCCCAGCCCCAGTTGGGGTCGTATGGGTGGCAACCACTCTATGTGTCCCTCTCACATTGATGTTTCTCTCTCTCTCTTCCTCCCTGTCTCCTCCTGCTCTATCTGAAGATAAATGCAAAAAAAAAAGAACTGCTACCAGCATTTGTTGTTGTTGTGTTAATGGAATAGAAGATATAAGCATGAAGTGCAGATAACAAGGGTATAGTAGACATTACTGTATTTACCAGCACTCCATTCCCCACTAAGTCTGGGCAAATTTCTCCAGTCCTATGAAGTTAGGCATGCCATGTGGCTTGCTCTAACCAATGAAATAGGAGAAGTGTCACGTGGCATTTCTAGGCAGAGCATTTAAGGGCTGGTGCATGCCCATTGTATTAGTTCTCATTGGAGCCTTTAACAAACGACCACAAACTTAATGGCTTAAAACAACACAAACTTCTCTTACAGTTTTATAGTTCAGAAGTTCGAAATGTACCTCACAGCCCTGGCCGGGTGGCTCAGTTGGTTGGAGCATCGCCTTGTATGCCAAAAGGTTGTGGGTTCGATTCCTGGTCAGGGTACATACCTAGGTTGTGGGTTCAGTCCTTGGTCCGGGACTCTCACATTGGTGTTTCTCTCTCCCTCTCCCTTCCTCTCTCTCTCTCTCTAAAAATCAATTTAAAAATCTTAAAAAAAAAAAAAAAAAAAGATGTTGGCAGGGCAATGTTCCTTTCCAGAGGCTCTAGGGACAAATCTGTTTCCTCGCCCTTTCCAGCTTCTAGGCCACCCACAATCCTTATTCCATGGCCTCTTCAAAGCCAGCAGGTTGAGTTATCCCAGTGCAGTTGTACCCTGACCTCTTCTGCTTCCCTCTTCTACTTTTAAAGATCCTTATGAATATATTCAGTGCCCTACTACTGTAAGGTCAACTGATTAGCAACCTTGACTCCATCTGCAACTGGAATTCCCCATGGCCATGTAATATAACATATTCAAAGGTTCCAAGGATTAGGATGTAGACATCTTTGGGGGGTCCTTTCTTCCTCTGCCACAGAAAGCAGCAAAGGTCTGGATGAGGAAGCTTCCAGCAACCTAAATTCCAGGGCACTCCTGCTACATGATAGACTTGTGGATTGAGAGAAAAAGAAAGTTCTAGCACCACTAAGATTTAAGGGTTGTTTGTTACTGTAGCAGACTAGCTTCTCCTGGCTGATACAAAAAGTAAGTACGACTCAATGAAATGTTCATTTCAGGTGAATTGAGTGAGATACAACATTAAATGAATTTCATGCTGCAAAGTTTGCGGTGGTAGTGGGACCAAGTCTTTTTTCAATTAATTAATTTTTATTGTTGAGAGTATGTCCCCCGTGTTTCTTCCTTGGCCCCCGGCACCTGGCGCCTGCCCCACCGCAGGCCTTCACCTCACTGTTGTCTGTATTCATGGGCTATGGATACCTGCATAAAAGTTCTTTAGTTAATCTCTTCCCACCCCCTTAAAATCCACCATTCTGGAGAAACATGCCTAAAACAAACATGCTCTATCAGTGTCTACGAACCTATCGAATCCTGTCTTCTGATTCCACTTCATCAGGATGGTGCTGCCAGGAAGGCCGGCAGGTCAGCTCTCCATGAACCAGAATCTTGGCCTCTCCAGGGAGCCCCACACCCCACCTGCAGCA